GTGCCTGCTCCTAGTTTCTTTACTCTCACGTGGCATACCTCTGCACTCTTTAATGCCTTTAAAAGATTATTGATGGTATCTGGAAAGGAGCTTCCCAGCATCCTCCCCATCTTCTCATAAAAAGCCCCAACACATGCCACTGCAGCACTGCAAGAAATGTGTAACAGTGCATTAACACAGCAATTCAGACAAAAATCTCTGTGAAAATTCATAATTATGTAAATTAAAATATGCAATACCATGGAATACTTCATGAAAATTAATAGTTATTAACTTCTATTTATTAGACTCCTCCTTATGTTGATAGATGGTGAGACTGGCTTACATACATGAATTAGTTTTAACCTCATCTACTGTAAAATGCTGAAGGAGAAGCACAGTGGCTTAGTATGCAAAAGGGAGGCCCTGGCACGTCTGTGTATTTCACCTACCCAGAAATGAGCAGGTATGAATGACTGATGGATAAAACCCTGCAGGGCACCACTGATGCAGCTTCATCCACTGTTAAATTCCATTAACGCCAGCAAGAAACACAGCAAATCTAGTCTTGTACGCTTAATCCCTCCTTTTAAACATAAAATGTCGTTCTGCAGATTACCGTCCAGCTTAACTGCTAATACCCTTGAAGATAGGCCTACTGCACGTGCCTGGAGCTCTAAAAGCAGTTCTGAACAGCTTACATTTGAATTGAAATATGTGAAAGCTCAAGCAGACTATTAATATGCAGTTCCTGTATTTCTAAAAATAGCCAATAAAAATATACGCGGTAGTAAATAAATGGGAACTCACAGTTTTGTTGGCAAGTATGCTGGTGTGTCATCCTTGCTTTTGATGATGTCATTGCATTTATCAAGAGTCTGGAAAACAGTGAAGGTGTCACCAATGCTGTAGAGCGTAGCAAGGTTTTTGGCCAGGAGTTTTCTTGTCGGTGGTCCCGGAGCGCTGCTGATTAGTCCCGTCAGCTGTTCCACCAGCTTCTTCTGCTTCTCTTTCACATCCACCTGCATTCAAAAAAGAAGGAAAAAAAGAACAATCGAATTACAAAATGCTTCCAATGATTCTGACTCAGAAAAGCTAAAAATCTGAATAGTCACCTTATTTGCTGCCACAAGCACTTTATCCAAAAACCGGAGCCATTCGAAGATGAAGACGGGCCTTTTTGCTTCGGTGATCTGGGCCAAAGCATCTTCATTAAGCAGGAGACTGTG